ATTTACACATATACCTATTCGCTTCATAAGTACACCATATACTTATATACATCCACACATATCTATAGTGTAAAATGTACGTTGAAAAATGATTTCTTTTTTTTTTTTTAATTTATTAAAATTTCGAAAATTTTTGCAAAACAGAAAACTTTTTTTTTTCAATAAAGAAATAAAAGAAATAAAGAAGAAGGTCTCGAAGAAAAATTTCAAGAATGTCATTATACCCGTACGAACGTATGTTCGAAGGGTATACTAAATTTGCCTTACCGTTTGTAACGCTAAGAAATAACGGTCTTAGATATAGACTCAAGTGTATGTTTTTGATCAGCGTCAAATTCTGAGTTGATTTAGCTTTGTCTGTCCGTCCGTCCGTCCGTCCGTCCGTCCGTCCGTCCCAACGATAACTCAAAAACTAATTGAGCTAAGTTCACCAATTTTTCACAAATGATTTATTGTAGTAAGTGCCAGAACCCTATTTAAATTGGACATGATCGGGGTACCGGTTCGGGTAGCTGCCATACAACTTCAAAATTTATTTGGCTATATCTCAGAAACTATAAAAGTTGTGGTATTGAAATTTCACACAAATGAATATATTAGTAGGGCCAATGTGTATGATAAAAGTCGTTGAAATTACTTGGCTCCTTCTGGTACCTGCCATACAACTTCAAAAGTTATTTGGCTATATCTCAGAAACTGTAAAAGCTGTGGTATTGAAATTTCACACAAATGAATATATTAGTAGGGCCAATGTGTTTCATAAAAGTCGTTGAAATTACTTGGCTCCTTCTGGTACCTGCCATACAACTTCAAAAGTTATTTGGCTATATCTCAAAAACTATATAAGCTATGGTATTGAAATTTCACACAAACGAATACACTAGTAGGGCCAATGTGTATGATAAAAGTCGTTGAAATTACTTGGCTCCTTCTGGTACCTGCCATACAACTTCAAAAGTTATTTGGCTATATCTCTGAAACTATAAAAGCTATAGTATTGAAATTTCACACAAGCGAATATATTACTAGGGCCAATGTGTTTGATAAAATTTGTTAAAATTTCTTAGCTTTTTCTGGTAGCTGCCATACAACTTAAATAGTAGTTTGGCACACACAGTATTTTGAAAAACAGACAGTATTGAAATTTTGCATAAATTAACGTGTCCCTTAGTCAGTTATGGCATCTTTTTTGCACACAGGATAACAAATTCGTACGGGTATCACAGAGTTGACAAGGTCAACTCTATTTTTTTTCTCGTTTTTTAATTAAAATTATAATACGCTCGTCAACGCTTTTCAAAAGAATAGAAAAAACAAGATGCGACATGATGTTTTATTGTTAAAATTAAAAATAGCAATTTTATAATTGTATCATAAATTTTGTACTGAATTTTTATTTTGCAATGGTAATTTTTATTAATCGGAAATAAATTTTATACACGTATATATGTAGGTCAACAGGCGCTCAAAAAGCGAAGTGGTTCAAATTATTAAAAATATTAATTCATACAAGAGGGCTCAATTCTCTGACGTTTTAAGAATTGCAAATTAATTAAATTAATTGTTTAAGTTTTGAGTGAGTCAGAAAAGCGTAGATTAAAGGATTACACCACAGCAATCGTAATAAATAATTTTACATTTTACATAAGTCACGATTACGTTTAATTGGCTTCAAAAATAAATTTCGAAAATATTTTATTGTGAAGATTACCTCGGATCTGACAACTTTTTTAAAATTGACTAATTCATAAAGCGAATCATTCAAAAATTCAACACGTTTTCCATTCAGAACCATGAAGTTCTGAAAGTGCGTTTTACGATATGAAGTGGCCTTTAAAAAGAACAAATTTAAATCAAAGTTAACATTACCTCTGCTTTCATGTTGAAACTTAAAGACACATGTATTTGACTAAAATTCGAATTTCTTCGAAAAAAATTTAATTCTGACGCCTTAAAGTAAATACGCTGTTGAATAGGTTAAATTAATGTGTGCATGCAACAATCGAATACCTTTAAGATAAAAGCTTAAAAAAATCTTGTAGTTTTTAGGGAAAACTACATATTTTTTATTTTTAAATTTTTAGGGCCATTTTACTAATTTTAAATAAATATCCAAATCAGGCTAACAATAAAAAAAATTTGTAGTTGTTGAGTTTAGCTTGTACTGAAGTAGGCTATAACTTATGTTTATTAGCAAAATTAAAACGAGTTAAAAGTTGTATGGTGAATGGACGCTCATAACTCAGCTGAATTCAAAAATTTATTTCTTTTTGTATATTTTTGACTTCCAAATGATAATAATTATTGGGAATTAATGTCTTTGTCATTTTTTTTTATTTTTGTAGTAAAAAACATTTGTCCAATGTCCATACCTTTGGTATCATGTGTCTTCAAAAAATATTACGTTCGTTTGTAACTTTATCGGCGTTAAACAAATGTATGTTGTAAATATTATGAAAGAACATCTGATGTGTTACCACAGCAGTTAGTTTTTTGTTAACATAGAAAAATGGAAATTTGGCTCTTAGTAGATGTTTACCTTAAGCTATCGGAATTCCCTGAAAAATTCGTCGGTTAGTTCTACTCTCAGAATTCAAATATTAAATTTTTAGAAATTCCGTGAATTAGTCATAACTGATATAAAAAATATAAAATAGGGCTCTATTAAACGTCTCTTTCCGAACCCTGCAATCCTCAAAAAAGTTTACGAAGTTAATGTATATAAAATTTGGAGTTAGTCCGCGGGTTTTTCTTAAAAATTATCAAAAATATGACATCGATCCAGTATCCGAAGCCCGACAAACTGCCAAAATTGATCAGTCCGTATTCGACAAATTTGTCCATATACTCCGGCAGACTGACATACCAATATCTCGTTAAAAATAGTTTATTTACGTTTTTTCACCATAGAGAAGTAAATTTTTTCCGAAAACTCAAAATGTAAAATTTAGTTCCATCACATAACCTTCCTTATTGCATGCAATGAGGTTGTTAGAAATATAAGTTCTTAATACACAATATTCCTAACAAAATTGCTTGCCTGTTAAAATTAGACTACTATACATTTCATATAATACTGGGGAAATTTTCTGTCTTTAATTTTACCCACAACTTTTTATGTAACTTAGCAAAAGAAAAAAAAATTAAATTTAGCTGAAATCTAAAGTTTGGTAACTAACTTTACAAGAAATTTATAATGACTTTTCAATTTTAAAGGTTGAAAATTTCAAGGGTTTTCTCAAAATTTATACAAGAAATAAAATAAGAAAAAGGAAAAAACACGCTTTAGGCTACATTAGTCTACACAAAGTATACAAAAATTTTCTTTAGAATTTTTTTCTTTTTTATTATTTCGAATAAAAAAATTAAAGAACATCTAAATGTAATAAAGTTAAATAAAATTTATTTTTAAAGGCTAAATCTGAAACGATGGTTTTTTTTCTAAAAATCTTTCTAAAAATCTCTTGTAAAATTAAAAGATTTCAATTGTTTTCTTATGGGTATGGGATGCCAATTGAAAAGATAATAATATTTTTTAAGGGAAAGAAAATTTTTTATTGGTTTGCCGTCATTACTGCTTGGGGTGATGTATATACATAGTTAAATTTATACTTGTAGTTAACCTTAATTATTCATTTGTACACTTATTTAATATGTATATATATATATTGCTTTATTTCAAATAAAATGTATTCCATTGAATTGCAATTTATTAAGAAAATCAGTAAAATTTTCGATAAATATTTGAGTTGATGAAATGATGTAGATGAATGAATTTGATTTGTTGTAATATTTCATTGTAAAAAATAAAATTTTATATGTTTACAAAAAAATGTAAATGACCATTAAATTAAGAAAACATTAAGAGAAACGTTAATGTTGCTCTTAATGTTTTCTTATAATTAATGAAGAGTTAAGAATAAACATTGCTAAATTTTATATGCACTTTTTGGAATACAATTAGTTTATTTTTTACTTACTCTATTATATATAATAGAAGATATTACGGGCATAGGACATAATAAGATAATGGAGGCACTGAGCACATTAGTGGCCTACTTGTAAAAATGACATTTCGATTGAAATTGATTGAAGTATTTAAAAATTTAATTTTTATGAAAATTTTTAAAAAGCAAAAACGAACTTATGTCAAAATAAAGTGCAAGGAGGAGTTAACTAAGTATTTTGAAAATATAGAACAATTCTTTATTGAACATATGCCTTATTGAACACAATAACTCATTTTTGCAAATATGTTAGACAGGCCAGTAATGTACCCAGCGCCTCAATTGTGATCGCACCAAATTTCATTATCTAGTTTTCACCGATTCACTTACACGCTTTTCTTTATGTTAATAGAAATGTGAGTAAAAAGAGAGAGAAATGTGGAAAACAATCTAGAGTGAGAGGTCAGTTTGTTAGCTTGGCTATTCGTAATGTCAATATGTCGGCTTGGCTTACCTTAAAATTGCAATTTTAGATGAATCAATTTTTTGAAACTCATGCTCAAATTTTTGTAACGAATACGATGTACTCAGACTTTAAATGGACTTCTATCAGGGTTTCTGTATAGGTTTTTTCTTTTAATGGAAAAATAATATCTATATCAGTATAAATATTTAAGCCAGTTGTAGAAAATAATAGGTTATCAATCTTGAAATTCTTGAAAGTAAGGTTCTAGCATAAATAGATTTATTTATAATATATTAAAATTGAAAGCTTCATTTCGGAAATTTTTAATGCGGGCGATTATGCAATTGCCACATAAGATCTTTTCCGTCAAAATTACAAAATTTTCCAACCATATCTCAATTTGCTTCTTTCCTCGTATACATATGTACGTATACGGCAATGTTTGAATGTATGTTCATTTGAATTGAAAATCACGATTGTAAATACTTTATTATGACGCCATTACTTGTAACAGCAAATTATTTTATTAAATTAAATATCTTGTTGATACAAAAACTAATTATTGTCATTTGTTTTATTTTTTTCAGGAAATAAACAACACACTGGATTGCAATTCACAAATGATTTGAAAAACTTTATATGTATACCCATATACATACATAAATACAACAAGAAGAAAAATCTGAAACCATCATTTAAAAAATAAAAACATTGCCTTATTATTTTCATCTTATCATTTGGTATTCCGTACCAATAAACATACACAACACTCACAAAATCAGTATAAAGCTAATAAAGTGGTTTTAGTGTCAATATTTGTTTTTAGATTATGTCGCAAAAGGAATGAAATAAGATGTAACAACATTTTATATACATACATATATAAAATTTATAAAATCTGTAATTTACTAACTAAAAACAAGAAGCGAAGAAAAAAAAACGAGAATACTAAAAAAAAACGTTTGCAGATTGACACCGTCAAAAGGGAATTATGGGATGTTATCAGAATTGTGCTTGCAATCGGTTTCTAATTTCTGAAAAGAATTTCGAGACAAAAATGAAAGGATGATCTTATTTAGTGTTTTAAAAAGAAAACAAAAGCAAAACCAAGGATAAATTGAAAATTTTTATCAAGGACTCTTTTATCAAATAATAAAGGTGTACTATAAATAATTTTTATCACAAAATATTTATGAAATTTTTATTTTTAAAAAGCGAATGTGAATTAATAATGTTTAAGTGAATTTTAAATTTAAATATTGAATGAAAAGCACAAAAATAAAAAAAAAATTATAAATTAAAAATTAAAAAAAAATAAATATATATAAAGAAATTATACAGTTAGAATTACGTAAAGAAAACCACGTAGTTTTGCAAGCAAAATAAAAAAAGTTTAAAGTTATTATGTTTTTACAATGAATTTACCTTCCGACATTTTAATATTCTTATTCATCAACAATTTATTTCGAGGTAAATAATATTTTATACTAAATTGATTTTTATTATCTTAAATATTTTTCATATTTCTTCTTTTAGGTAACACAATTTTTTGTCAAAATAATATACTTACACTTGTTGTTAAAAATTTCAATAAATTTTTGAACTCGGGAAGCCGGAATTCACTGTTTCGATATATTTCAGTCGGGTGTTTTTGAGACGCGCTATTTAATTAATTGGTAATCGTTCTTAGCTTTCCCGAAAACAAGTTGAATTCAATTTTTTTGAATATTGACTTTTACTTAAAAATGGAACTGAAGAAATTGATGATATTAGTTGTTGTGTAAATGTGTTCTTTACATATGTGTTTACACAATGACGGTATAGTTATAATTATGTCGGTCATTTTAGTCATAATTATAATATAGATTTTTTGAAAAATGACGCACCTTTTAATGAATCACGTTGTTCTTGAATAATTCAAAAAGAATACCGGCGCCAATATATGAGTCTGATTTTTAAATTTATTATTTACACTTCAGTTGACGTGACGTATATGTTTTTGATTAACAAGATTGTGCTATATTGTGCTATGGATTTAGACTATAATAAGACAGTACAAAGAATAAATGCAGTATTAAGATAATTATGATTCTTTTAAGCTCACTAGAACGTAAAAAATTGTGTAAAATAGAATAATAACGTAATACCACAACTCCAATCAAAATTTTTTTTATTTTTCGAAAGGTAGTCGTCGCCGCCATCGTGATAATCCTGATGAAGTATATTTCACCTGGACATAAAATCTTATTTATCTGAATAAGTAGCTATTTTTGAGTCCAGAACAGGCACGTTAGCCGTCAAACGTTGCTCGTTTATCACTATAAATCAGTGATTACGCTTAAGTGTACCAATTATAATCGAAGTAAATTCAATTGCATTAGCTTAAGATTCAATTACCAGATTTGCTTTTTCTTAATGCTTGGCTTAATTTAAATAAGTATATGGTTGTGGTTGCCGTTTTACATGTGTAGCTTGACAAACGGCACCGCTGACAAACTCATTTTGCCCAGTTCAACGTCATATGTATTTTCAAACAAAAATTTATCAAGCATACTGATTCTCAAGCACCTTGTTCACAAAAGTTTAAAAATCTGACTGTAGCATTAAAGTTTCTTTACTCATTCGTGGGCAGTATTTTAGAAATACTCTAAAAATAGTCGCGGATTCTGTTGAAAATTTTAGAAGAATCTTAAGTTATTACTTTAAAAAGGAATATCGTGTTATAACATCTATGAAAACGAAAAAATTTTCCATAAAGAAAAAAATGAAAATTAAAGGTCTTTAAATATGTTTATACAGTCTTGGATTAGCTTTCTATTTTATTTTATCCTTGTTGCAACATTTGTTGTAAAAATAAATACTTAAAACTCAAGTCAAATATTTTTAGAAAAAAAAGGTAATTAACAAAATATTTAAATTTTCTTTTAAAGGTTGTTGTCTCTTTTACGTTATAATAGCAATAATAACAAAGATTGATCTATAAATTTATTTGAAAATAAAATCTAATTGCAAAACCTCATCTATATATGTATGTATGTCATTAAAGAGCAAATTAATGGAAGACAGATGGGAAAAAGTCAAAAAGTTAATTGATTCTCTTTATAAGTTGGAAAAATCTTTATAATATGTTATTTTTTTTTAGAGAAATTAAAATGAGAACTTTGGGGGTATTGTATTTGTCTTTGGCTTTTATTGTTCTTTACTTGCTTTGATTTTCTAATATATATTCATTATATGTATGTTTGTGTCTTGTAAGTTAAAAAAATTAATCTTTAATGTTGTTTGTTTATTGTAAATCTTTGTTTTTTTTTAACATCAAATATTTTTTAAATCTTGAAAGCAGAAATGCATCAAAGATTTTCTTAGTTGAAGAGATCTATGCACATTTCGTGTACAAGTTTTTATATAAGTTCGTTTATAAGCTGATAAGATTTTAAAAATGTTATCTTAATCTAAAAGCATCGAATGTGAATAGGAATTATTTATTATAATTATACTTTTGGCACATTTGGAACAAAATTGTAGAAAAATGTGCTTAATTGTCTAATTTCCGTTCGTCTTTTTATCAAATGTCTTTGTTTTGCTTGCTGTTTGTTTACAAAAATTTTAATTGTTATTACTTAAAAGGCTGCTATTTTATCCGCAAACGTATTTCCTTAGGAATTTATTTCTCTACTTAAAGAAAACTTATCGTGTCGTTCACCCTCCAGTAGAAAACCAAAAAATGACATTTTTAGCACTTTTTCAAAAAAAACTATTAAAAAAATTGCTTATTAGTTTCACTCTAACCATCTGTCCGCCCGCGGACATGTTTACAAAATTTCTGCCCCCTAAAGATAGAAAGCTGAAATTTCATACGTAAGTAGATCTTTAGTAGCGACTTATTTCCGTTGAAGAGAATTTTTTGCATATCTTCCCCCCTCTAAAAGTTACAGTTAAAAATTATTGGGCAAAGCCAGAAACAGGTTTTAAATTCTGCAAACAAAAAAAAGTATTGGCTGGCTTCTTCTACCGCGGCATACCATATTTGAACTTTAGAAAAACAAAGTGGCCGTTAAAATTCACCAATCTTGGCATTATATATAGAAAAATATAATTATTTTTCTTAACTCGGGGAATCGACCCTTAAATTCGGACATTATGTTAACGCTTCTTTCACTTTTTTTTGTATGCATTACTCATCCTAAATGTATGCAATTTTTGAAATATATTCATATATAATTCTGAAATTCGAAATTTTAGTTATACAAAATCGTATATATTAGAACGTATTCTTTTTTCCTCTTCTACCGAACTACTGTCTCACAAAAATAGTAAAATTTAAATTTTTAATAACTTTTTCAGAAATTTGAAGCTTTCCAAATTTTTATGTGTGCAAAGAAGTATTTGTAAATATTTTTCTATTAAACAAATTAAGATGTTTGCCTCAACAGATAATACCAACTATTTGATTTGAATACTGTGTTAATACGTACGCCTACTTTCTGATAAGGTAAATGTGCTTCTTTTAAAAATTGCTGATTTATTCTGAATTTTAAAATGGAAAATATTCACTAGAATTGATTGTTATATTTCAAAACAAATGATCATGGAATTTGGCAGAAATTTTGCGAATTTATTTTAATTAATTTGCCAAATATTTCAATTATATCTTTCTGCTCAGAAGATTTGAAACGATTTCTCAAATGAGTGTAAATATTAAAAGTGATTTTTTAAGATTTAGACCTCAGATTTATTTCAGTATAATTTTTTAATTTTACAATGTCTTATTAAAATTCATCATTATTTTGGCCATCTAAACTTTGTTCAAACAAAAACAACTTATTAATCGCAATCACAAATGTCTGTTAAATGCATTAATGAATTGTATAAAAAGTGTTAAAAACGACACAATTGTATAAATTTGTATATGGAAAATTGCTTGTATTTTTGTATTTCAATTGAAAGCACAATAATCTATGCAAAATGGATTTGCAAATAACAAAGCGTTAAAAAAGGATAAAGTGAATCAATTTGCATTAACCATGCATCATATATAAAATTCATATTAAACGTTTTATCATATTAGCAATTTAGATCTTCAGTAATAGATCAATGCACTAAATGACTTCTTGATTATTCACTATGATTTTTTATATATGTACTTTGATGATTGAATAAATTTTGATTTGGTATTGTAAAATAAAAATGTTTTTGCATTCTTGTTATTTGAAAAGAAAAAAAATATCAATATTGGCATATATGAGAAATTTTTATTGAGTTTTAAAAACATTGTATAATAATGTGAATATATTTTGAAAAATAAGTTAAGGTTATTTTGATCCAACCATATATAGTTATCGCAATAAATTCAAGGGAATTCTTTTGTAGTAAAATAATAAAATTGAAATTCTTTTGTAGAAAAATGATTTAAAATAGGACAATAAACTAAATGGTTCAATAAGTGGTTCAATACAAGTTTTGTTAACAATTTCAGTTATAGTTTGCGTTATCAGAATCATTTTTGCTTTGGTATTTTCGAATAAAATTTGAGTTTGTAATTTTAACATAGAACTTAAATAGTACCAAAAATATAAATTTGCAAAAGCTCTAAATTTTTTATTTGATATAGCTGTAAAATTGTGTTGCATTTTTTTTAATATAAATTCAAACTTACGTCTTTGATTATCCTTTTCCGTGCCCCATATGTTGCATATATCTGATTAAACGTTATCAATTACAAAGGCGTAATGTTCCTCATTTTATTTGTTTTGAAAACTACAAACATGCAATATATTTGCAAAATGTTAAATTAATATTATTCTATGTATTTTTTAAATTCTATATAATTTGTTAAGAGGATAACGTAATATTCTCCTCTACTCACTCATGGCAATTTAGTCCGGCAATATGATTGTATTAAGTAAAAATTGTTTTAAGTTCGTCTAGTAGTCTTCTACGTATAATGTTGATTAGTTCTAAAGAGAGTAATAAAGAGCATAAAAATTTTATGGACTTTTAATTAACAATGGGTGATTTTTTAAGCGTTTTGTTTTTAAATTTAAAGAAAATCATATTTTAATTTAACTCAATAGGTTAATCATTAGTAATTTTTGAAATATAAAGTTTTATTGATGTTTTTTAGACTTTTGAAACACACTATTAATATTGTTTTCCAAAGCAGCAAGCAATGCCGAAAGTTCAACTTAAATAAGATTGTTTCATTAACACTTCAGTCAATTGATTGGTCCGATATTTTGAATTAATTGGCCACTGATTGCGGTATTCAGTTAGTTAATCTTCTGGGGTATGTCATTATATTTCCGGCTGCAAAAGGTTTGAAATCATAAAACGATTATATATGATAACATTATTGCTAGTTTTGTCTTTGAATAAGCACACAACCTGCATATAAGCGACACTATAAAAAGTTCATTTTTTGAGTTGGACAAATCCATCCAAACAGAAAGAACTTTCGTTGCTAGAAAATAGTTTTTGATAATAAGAAAAATTTTCTTCAAAATGTTGTCAGCATTCATGAAAAATTCGGCGGTGTTTCAATTCTGTTAAGTTTTGAGCTTCATATGGTAAGTTCTCTTCCATAATAGTTCTTGTTAAGTGTTGATCTATATCTTAATATAACTAAAATAATCTTATACTTAAAATTTTTAGCTCTATGAAAAACCTTAAATTAACAGGTGGAAACTACTTGATCATTTTATGTGATTTTAAGTTTCTCATGCTATAATCTTTTTGTACAAATTTCTTATTTTAGAACTATTAAATCATATTTTAACTTCCACATATGCAGTATATATACGGCCATACGGGTACTGAATTTCAGGGTAATAATTTTTTTTATCTTTATCAACATGTACATATGTCTGTATTTTTTAAGTATAACATAATATTATCGAAAAATCCTATTTTATCGAAATAAATGGTAGGTTAATGTGTTATCCAGCTTAAAATCAAAGACGCTCTACTTAAAAACTTCGTAATCAAAAAAAAAATAGGAATAAAATAAAATTACAGTAAATATTTAGAGGCAATAAAATTGTATTCTTTATAATATGGAGGCGCGAAAAAAAAAAAACAAAGAAATGCTAAAACCAACTTTCTTTCCAAACGAACATATACGAACAAACGAACGCAAAAGAAGGAAAATATACATAAGACAGAGGAAAAAAAAAGGAAAAAAAAGAAAATGGAAAAATAAAAAGTAAATCAAATAAAACCACGGCGACGAACATTTTTCCCTTTTATATGTACCTCTACGTACATGTATTTTGTGAAGTTCTTTAGTCATGGTGAATTATTGATGTTGGAATTGTGAGCTCAAAATAAATTTATTTCCGAATATCATAAAATTTTGCATGTTTGTGCTATAATAAAACTTTTATGATGGAAAATTTGTATTTATAAAATTTTAACATGGAAAAGTTAATGGTGAGGTGATTTTTACCAAATAGCAAAAATCAGTTTGAAAACACTGACAAGAAAATGGGAATTTTTACAACGCCAATAATAAATTTTTGAATAATGTGTTTTTTCTGTTCTCCTTATAGAAATTTTTCTTTTCCTTTTTTTATTTTTTCAATTTTTTTTTGTTTTTTTGCTCGTATTTTGTCATAATCTATGCAGACTTTGCACGTAAGGGTCCCTTTTGGGTAAACTAAGAATTTAAACACCTCTTTAATTGTATACAATATTTTATTTCTATTATTGTTTAAATACTACCTTTGCTAATATATTTTTCCATCTTCATATTTTTATAATTTTTAAATTAAATGTGGATATGTATATGTACGTATACGTATGTGGAGTACGGTGTATACATGTATGTACATTTATTATTTAAAAGTAGTAAAAATGTGAATTGTTTGTTGATTATTGCATTGCAAGAATAATATGGCGATATTTACAATTTTAAATTCATAAATTTTTCTATATTATTATTTGTGTAAATAATGCATATTGCATTTATTACAAATGTATGTATGTAAGTATGTATGTAACTGTGTTTATAACTAGACCAAGTTAATATTATTTTTTATTTTAAAAATTCTCATTTTGTGGCAAAAATATTACAATTTGAAACTTTTGTTTTGTTGTTTTTTTTGCTAATCAAGACTAGGTTATAAAACGAAGTTCTTATTTTATTATTACGTATGGGGTAACAAAAACTTTATCGGAGTTTTTTTCTTTTCTTTTCATTTTGTAAATTTATAATGTTGGCACAAAAAAACAAAAGGGTTTTTTTAGTTGCATTGAATGTGGACAACATTATAGAATCAAAATATATTGTATATATTGTTGTAGTATATTTGAAAAATAATTGTAGTGACTGTCTGTCTAGAGATAAACTTAACGTGTTAAAATGTAAATAGAAATTTTTATATTTAAAATGAATGATTCGTGAAATCGTGTGAACAATTCAACAATATCGTGTTTTTCAAGTTGATAATCGTTTTTTTGTTTTTAAAAACTTAATGGTCATGCCATATATGAATATACATGAGATTGTATTTAGGCATGTCACATTAAGTATATGTGTAGATGAGCTTAAATATTTAATTTTGTGTATTGAAATTTGTAATGAAATAGAAATTAATTGAGATTTTTGCTTATCTCAATCGATTTTTTTTTATTACTAATTAAGTATTTTAGATAGCGTCTCTGTCAGAAAATCTAAAGTACCTTATAGTAACACAATAACAGTTTTATGATAGCGATGTAGAAATAGTGTAAAGTGCTCTTATAAATAAACTTGAATTTTTAAATTTTTTGAATTTTTACTTCATAATTTTGTATAAGTTATGGGCAGTAAATTCAAATTGCCTACTAAATGGAAATATGTAGTTTTCTTTCACTTAACTACATGCATAAATATAAGTACATATAATGTGTATAATAATTAAAAAAAAAAACAAAAAATTTTTCATACTTTTATTATAAAATTTTGCAAAAATTTTGTCTACTTGAATTTTTTTTAAAATTTAAATTAGCATTAAAAAATTTTTTTATTTTTTTTATTTACAGATATAACGGGACTTCGGCTGTCAAAAGTTGTTATACCAGCCTATAAGTTAAGAGGCGAATCAGTATTTCTTGAATGCCAATATGAGTTAAATAGATCAAATGGTGGTATAATTAAAAGTAGTATAATTGATAGTACAATAAGTGGTATAGGATATCATCGTTCTAAAAATAAAAATCAATTGCCTTTACAACAACAACAACAACTACAGCAACATCAACAACAGCAACCTCAAGAAGAACAACAGGAATATTATCATAAAAAAAGATCACAACAACAATCATTAATTGAACAAAAGCAACAAAAACAAAAAAGATATTATAGACAATTACAACAACAACAACAACAACAGCTTCCACAACCAACATTTCAACAGCAATTTCAAACTCAAACATATAAAATCTATGATGAAACAAAAATTAGAGACCATTTACTTAATATATATGATAGTAGTAATGAACCTAATGAAGATGATGGCGAACAATTATATGCAGTTAAATGGTATAAGGATAATGAAGAATTTTATCGTTATGTGCCGAAAGCAAATCCTCAAAAGCAAAGTTATCGAGTTGATGGAATAAGAGTTATAGTAAGTTTCTTTTTATATTGTACATATAACATGTTTCCATATACAAAAATATTCCATTTTATATTTTTAGGAATAATTTTCATTAAGATTCAGAATAATCTTAAAGCACTTTTGTAACATATTAAATTCAATATCAGTCATTATTTTTAACTGCTTATATATTATCCTTAATAGCAATTGAATTAAATTTCTATAAACTTCGAATCCTTATAAATGTCATTTCAAACTGTAATACAAAAAATTTTCCTTAGATATCAATGGCATAAATTAATTGTATGTAAATACTATAAGCAAACATCTCTCGTAGGAGATCCTTTTACCATATACCGAATATTTTATATTAAAAATTATTAAATTTATTTATCCTTTTAAATATTATAGTAGTAAAGATTTATTTTTTGAAAGGCAAATTTAAAATTATATTCCCTTGTTTATATTTTTTATCTTTTATACTACATATACCAAATATTATTTGTGTTTTTGCATTAGTTATAGATAGGCAAGTATGGTATTAGTCAAGATTAATAAATTTTGTCTATATTTACAAAATTGTTCCAATGTTATTGTAAACAACAGCATGACATTGGAACATTTTGTAACCTTGTAAATTTTGAAATATATTTTTAAGATACAAAAGGATATTCGCTTAACATTAGCAAGAGCTCTTTCCAAAACAATTTGTGTTGAGTTTCAAGATCATCTTTTAATGTAATATTGTAAATTATATATTGCAAAAGATTTAAAAATTTAAAACAAGCATGATTTTAGTTAAAAAATCTGGGGCCCTAATATTCCTTACACATACACACATATAATGTATATCAATTATTGTTGTCTATATTTTCTTTCGACCACATTATGCCATTTTTAATTGTATTCATTGAATTTTCATTCGATGTTTCAAGGAGCATAACTCTGATGAAAAATTTTATTTGTACCATTAGAATTATTGGCCGAATTCGATTCTATTAAAAATGAGAGTGCTTTTTATTTTTGGTCTAATAAATTCTAAAATATGCTAATATGTGAGAATATGTTGCAACAAATGAATTTCTGTTTAAAAAACTACAAAAATTCAATAATTTGCTCTTTTGTATGATTAAATTTTTAAATTTCAATTTGTAATTTTTTGCTGGCAACATTATAATTTAAAAATTTTTATACAAATATGTCAAACAAATGTAGGTACTCCTTTTTGTGTTTTGATTATTAATTATCATTAAGAGAAATGCAAACTTTAATGGTTTAAATAATTACAGAAAAAAATTTGATTTCACTTCTTACGCTTCGTAAGATTTTATCGCCCTTCAAAAAGCGCGAAATTTCTACTTTCGAAAAGTTATTTCTCTAAAACTACTCGTATAATTTAAACTGAAAATAATCTTATTAGCACATCCGAACCATATTATCTTAGTAATTCATTAAATTTTTTGTTTCCATTATGAAACTATGCTACTAAAAAACTAAACTAACACAAAAACAATTTTAGCAAAATATCATTTTCACTTATATTAAAATTATATTACCTGCAGGCTGACCACCTTATTTTTTAACTGAAAAAAAAGATACTGATTCGGAATGCAATTAACCACATATATAGACATTTATGAAACATTATAATTGAATTTCTTATTTATAATATTAATGTTTGTAATTTTAATTATTTTCAGGAAGAACATTCTGATAGCTCAAGAGTTTTATTAAGAGGTCTTACACTTAATTCTACTGGACTCTATAGATGTGAGGTATCAGCAGAAGCACCTAATTTTTCATCTGTTCAAGGGGAAGGCAGAATGGATATAGTTTGTAAGTTTTAATCCAAATTTTTGCAATTTTTTTTATTTGGCATTTAATTTAAATTTTGAAAAAGCGGAATATTATAAATAAAACATAGATTCATTTAAAAATTCATATTATACGATAGCATGTTTACATATGTACAAAATTATTTTTTATTTTTGTCCTTCTTTTTTTAAATTGAGTAACAGATTTTATTGTACAAACTCTAATTTAATGCTCTAAATTCAAAAACAAGAGGAAACCATTGAATATTACACATATTTAAAAATAAATTCATGCGCCTTTGCACATATAAATTCATTAACAGTATATAATCTACATAATACCTATTATAAGTAGGTGTGTGTATATCTAAAATTTATTATGGGCTAGAGTAGATACAATACAAAATATAATATTTAGAATAAAAGATTAATATTGAAACAACAACAAAAAAGAAAAACATAATTATTTAGCTTTCAATGGAATAATATAAAAGTTCATATAATAATATTTTATAATGTTATATACTTAAAATGTTATATAGACATGTAAACACGTTAATTAAAATCCTATATTTTTATATTAAATAATCATATTCAAATAAAATATTATAATAATAATAATAAATAATAATATATTATATGTATTTCAACTATAAAATTTTTGCTAAAGGATTAATTAAAAATAATTTCAATAAAATATTCGATTATAAAAAAAAAACTGTATAAATTTGTCAATAAATAAACGACATTATGTTTTTATATTAAAAAAATAAAATAAAAATATATTTCAAATATAGAACAAATAAAACAATTTTATGTTCTAATAAAATTGAAGAGTGTCTCACATATTGCACAAAACTTAACCCATATATTATTATGGGTTACGGTTCGGAAGCTATATGACTGATTGGATATTGCATTAATAAGCGAAGTTGAATATTTATTATGAATCATGTTTTATTATTTTAATAGCACAATTTGAATACTGACATACCTTGCTGTCGGAGCTATATTTTTCTTGATAAATATGTGTTCTAATTTAAATTGTTTTAAATCAAATACTTTTGCCTTTTTCAATATTAATCATTTCAATTCTTCCAAATGTCTCAAATTTATTCGTCTTTTTGTTCTTAATCAACACTTTTGCTTCAAATTTAAAGTTGTACAAAGATTTTGTATGACAGCTACAATAAAATATTTGTTGTCAAAAAATAGGTTAAAATCTTTGCATATCAAGAAAATTTAACAAGTTCTTTAGCCGGATTTTGAACTGTTTTCTTATCAGAATTCATGAGATTCACGGATATCTTAATAATATTACCACATGTGCATTTAAATGGAATATTCTTTTCCAAAAATGCTTTTATGTAATTTGATTTCCCAATTTTGTTCTTTACATTTTTCTCCAGAATCATCATAAAACTATTTTCTTCTAATCTTCTTTCTTAATTTAACAACATTATATGATTGTTTGACCTGCTAAAATTTTAATATCTTAAGAAAACAATAGCTGTTAGTTATAGATTTCAGATATTGTTTTTTCCGATTTAATAAGTTAGAAATTTTACAAGCTTTTATTGATTTGATTTCAGTGACAATTAATGTTATTTAAGTTTTGTTGCCTGTTATATTAAAAATTTGATTTTTGACATATGCAGCGCCGAAATCTTGATTATACCATTAATTTATTAATACTTATTAATGGTTAATAATTTTGATAGAAAGAAACACTTAATTTTTATTTAAGTGTTTTTCTGAAATAGTAAAACAATTCATTTCAAATGTCATTCTCATTACAGAAATTACACTCAATGAAAAAAATTATTGAGTATAGGAGTTTACTTGCGAGTTGCGTGTCTCATATTTTATGACATGATTTTTTTTTTATTTATTATTTCTCTTTTCTCTTTGAAATTAATAACAACATAAACAAAAAGAAATAATGATATAAATTTATTAACATAAAGAGCATTATAAACTATCTGTTCACAAATTATATCCATATTGTTTGTTACAATAATAATTATCACGAATGTTATGTCAATTATCATTAAAATTTCCATTTCAAATTATATATTATATGTGAAAGCATAAATACATACATAAATACTAAATTTTTCATTAATAAATTATATTTCTAATATTATTATAAAATTTTGAGGATTAGTTTCAAAAATTTATTGAATCATTAATTTTATTTTGAATTGAACAGATAATAATAATAATAATAATCAAAATATAGAGAGGATTTTTAAAAATATCTATTCAAATTTAATTAATTTCCTCCTTCTACACTAAAAATATGTAGATATATTATAGATATCAATATATATTTATGCAATTTTAATTCAATTCATAATTTATAATTGAATTTAATTATAATAATTTTCGTTCCTTATTCAATTTAAATTTCAAAATAAAATGAATAAAAATTATGATGAAAAAAAATATTTTTTGGAAATTTATGCTGTTTAGTTATTGTCAAAAATATATCTATACGTATAAATGTGATACAGAATTTTTTAAAAATATCTCTAAAATATATTATTGAATTGAATAGTGTAAAAATGCCGCTTTGAGTGATTAAAAACAAATTCATATAAAAATTTTAATTTTTAAATATTACAAAATATTATCCAATTTATAAGTAAATTACAAAAATATATTTGGCTTAAAATTTGTATTTAAAATGAATAAAACCTTTATATATTTAGTATTAAAAATAAATAATATTCTAAATTTTGAAAAAAAAAAAAAATCGATTATAATCCATATAGGCACGTTGTATTTTATACAATTTGTTATAAAAATAATTCTATACGAATAAATTCTGAATACTTAAATAGATTATTTAGAAATAAAAATAAAAAGTCCTTTTTCATTCCATTTGATAAAATTTTATTATTATCTCTTATAGAAAATTATTAAAACTTTTATTTTATTTGAATCATAGATTTACCGCGGGACGGCCCTCATATAAAAGGAAAAGAAGATCAATATCAAATTGGTGATACACTTAATTTGAATTGTACCTCAGGAAAATCACATCCAGCTTCACAACTTCAATGGTTTATTAATGATAAACTGGTAAGTTATACATATAAAAAAAGAATAATAAAACAATATCTTTTTCGTCTTTTATCTTAATTAAATGAATTTCAATCTACAAATGGATTCAGAAGTTCATATATTTAAATCTATTGTTATAAGGTTAAAATATTTAAGTCAGTATTAATTAGTTTCGAGTTTTGGGAAAAATCTGAAAGACTCAATATCATTTATAAGCCTATATTAGAACTAATATCAAAAACATTAGTAAGGTAAAAAAATATTTTAAGGGCAATTCGATTGGGTTGATTAGACCAGTGGTTCAAAAGTTTTGCATCAGTTCTTTAACCGTCACTATAAAACTTATATTTAATATTACATAGCTTAATATTACATTACATATAATATAAAAAAATTATTATTAAAACTAATTAAATTTTTTTCATATTATTCAATATTAAATACCTGCAAAATAAAACCATAAATACCACTCATCTTAAATATTTAATATAAAAAAAAACTGCAGTAAGTTAGTCACTCACTTAGTTAAAAACCAAATGATTATCTACAACACCACGCGACAGTTCAAGATAAGAATGAAGTTCTTGAATTTAAATTAATAAACTCCGTATATAATATTTGCCATTATACTTATTTAATAGATTAAAAAAATTCGTTTTATTATATTGTATGACCGTGCCTAATAGTCAAGTTAGCAAATCACTTAAGTTTTACTAATTGTACTGATTATGATATGAGTTAAGTTTAATTACATTTGTTTGCGCAGCAAATTAAAACACTAATCTTTGTGATATGCAAAATATTTTGAAGCATTTCTAAGAATTCTCTATTACTCTTTTGCAAATAAATGCTTTACATCATAATGAAACAATTATTATTTCATTATCACTGATAAAAAAAAGGTGCAATACCAATACCTCCTATTCGGAGGAATAGCCACCGGAGGTGTTATTCTTCTTTATATGAAGGAGTGAATCCCGAAGAGTTGATGGCGCATTACTATTATTGCCATATATTATCATAATAATTATCATAATATTCTCACCACATTTAGATATTGTTACTTTTGCGCACGAATATTGCGAAGATTATAAATTTGATATTTTCAAGCTTATTTAAGCATTTGTAATAATAAAAAAATTTTTTTTAAAGAACATACGTTCCACACATTACAATAATAAAATAAAATAATATTCATGGATAAAAATATCATATTATGCATAATAAATTTATGATTATGAATTTTTAACACATTTTTGTCCTTTAAATTGTGCGACAAGTAAATAAATTTTATTTTTGCAAAAAAAAAAAATAAGTACTAACCATCAAAAATCTATAGATAATATTTTTCTAATGTGAAATAAAACTTTTTTTTTTTCATTATTATTGTGTATGTCATGCGCAAGTAATATTTATTTTAAACAATAATGAAATTCAGTTAATGCTTCCATTCATGTGTAAGTCGGTATAAATGTAATAAATTTTAACTTTTATATATGTAATAGAAAATGGAAAATGTCTAATATATATTAAATAATAATAATAATAATAGTAAAATAAGTCTCTACACATATGAAACACGCATCCTTATACATATATACATACTTAGTTATTATAACAAAAAAAAAAAATTTCATATTATTTTAAATTCTGAATTCATGTGATTGAATTTCCGCACGACTTCAACAGTTTCAAAAAATTTTTAATCTTCAACATTTAAATAACTTTTTTTATATCAATATATAAACTACATATATGTATGTTTGACTATATATAAACTACATATATGTATGATGACATTTTATTATTACATATATATGTAATAATAAAATGTCATCGCATAAGTATCTATATTATGTCCTTTTTTGTTATAATATATGTTTATATATATGTATATATATATATGTATATATAAGATAATATTAAATAATATTAAAAGAATTCGAGAAAGATGAGCATTCATGAGACAAAGGTTAATGGGACCGAGAGGTTTACTTTAAGTCTATTATATATTTATGTACATAACATTGTCATACTCTATTATATACATATATACGTATATTTGCTTTCCAAATTGGAAAATGAGGGAAATAGAAAATGTAAAATATCTTACTTTTTCTATATAGCATTTCCTTTCTATGTTGATAGAATCATAATGGCATAGCCCCAAAAATAATACATATGTATGTATAAACTATATTATGTATGTATGTTTGTATGTAATATTTATCAATATTTTTTTTAAGGTTTTTTTTTTATTTGTTAAAAACTCTTCTGTAAATAAAAAGGGAAATTTTTGATTATTATTATTATTATTTTTGTTTTCGGCAAAATTTATTTTTTTATTTTCCATTTTCATTTTTTGTGTATTTTTTTTTAAACTAAAATGTTTGTATATGATGTATAAGAACCACGTCTTTTCTATAATATAAAAAGTTTTTTGTGTTTTTTTTTTTTGTCTATTTTAACAAATAAAAAAATAATTTCATTGGTGAAATCAAAAATTCTGAGTTTTTTGGATGTTGACTAAATGTTTGCCATTAATTATAATAATTTACTACCATGAATTTTATATATACATAAATGTATGTATATATTGTATTAGTAAAAAGTTTGTTTTAAACTAAAACTTTAGGTCCAAAATTCTATATATAAGGTGATATATAAAATTAGAAGCATAACTGTGTGTGTATGGTTCTATTGAATTTAATATACATAACTATACTGAGAAAATACTTTATTTTTTGTGTATATATATATATATATGTACATGCATAGTAAATGGTTGGTCTGTGTTTTATGACTTCTATAGCAACTTAAATTAAAAGTTTTTTAGTCCAAAAATTCAAATATTTAATGGTAATTAAATGAAGATAATTGCATAGCATATTATTTATAGTTATCATTAAAAGCCCATTTAAACTTAAACAAGAAAATGTATTTGAAATGAACTTTCATCGCGTTAACTTAGACTGCAAATTTTGGAAGTCTGAATTTTATCAGTTTTTAAATATTAAAATATAGTTAATTTCGATAGAAGAAAATTTTTTTCCACCTTTACCTTCTCTCAAGTTATCGCCTCACGAAATTCGTAATATTTGAATTTTTGGTGCCTTATATTTTTGAAACTACAGCTGCGGCAAACTAGATTTAACATGCAATCAAAAAATATGATTATTTATTTAAATTCACTTAATTACCCATATCGAATTCTACCATTATGTCAACGCTTTTTTTAGATTTTTTCTTTCTCATCCCAAATGTATGCAATCAATAAATATATTTCGGTATACGCTTTTTAAAATAAAAGAACATTTTCAGTGGTTCAAAAGAAAAGTGCTATTTTACAGACCATCGGTTTGATCCGCACTTATTTAATTTGAAGCAAATACAAATAAAAAGGATAAATCGCACTTAACAAGAGATTATTTATATTCGCGTAAAATAAGTTTCTTATCTAATATGATTCGGAATAGATTTTCGTATTTAACCATAGAAAGTGAAATTTTTTTACGTTATGATAATGTTGAATTCGCTTAAATGGCTAAATAAATAATTTATAATAAAATTTATATTAAAATGCTAATATATCCATTTTTTTTTCTCTTTAATTTTATAGCTCGTCAATTCAGATTCCTTAATTAGATACAATGATACGATACATAAACATGGTCTGATTACTTCCACATTAGGATTACAATTGACAGTAGATGCAAGACATTTTCAAGAGGGAGCAATGAAAGTAAAATGTTTAGCAAGTATATCACCTGTTCTTTGGAAAGGTGGTAGAGAAAGTGTATTACAAAGGCGACCGGGAGTTATCGATAACCGTGAGGCTATGCTTTTAGGTTTGTACTTTTCTATATAATTATTATTTATAGTTTAAAAAAAAACTTAGAATATCCTGAAATATTTAATTATAATATTTAATTTTTTTTTGTCTTTTTTTTCGATTCTTTCAGTATTGAGCTCCTCATCCAGTATAGTAATTAACTCGTTTGTATTAGGTTTAATAATTTTAATAGTATTTTGTCAATTACTCGATGTAAAGCTTAGGTAAGATAAGTTAAAATTTTTAGTTATGTCTAATTTTTTACAATAATTTAATATAGCCTAAAAAAAAAAATTACGTTTATAAAACACAAAGTTCTTGTAAATATATAAAACTATTGTAGAAAATATTTATATAGCAACCATTTAAAATGAAAAAATAAAAGAAATAAATTAATGAAAAATTAAAATAAAACTTTAAACTTCCTTGAGATATAAATCATTAATTTATTTACTGAATATGGAAGTTTCATATCATGAGTTTAATAGTTGGAATATGAAAACAAACTAAACAAAACATATCTTTAAATATTAATTTTTTTGTTTTAAATATAACCTCATTAATTATAATACTGTATAATATTGTCCACTTTATTTCTTGATATATGTACGTAAATTTTAATATACAATAATACCAATATAAATTTTGCTGAAACATATCAGTATCATTAAATCAATATACCATATAGCGATATATACCGTAACTACAATCAAAGTGGCTGACACTTTGAACAAACAAAAATAGTAAATAAAATATAATTTTTTTTTAGATTTTCATTGTTATCTTTGACATAAAATATATTGCATGTAAGTATGTATTTTTCTCTATAAAATGAAAATTATATTTTCATTGTATCCTTATTATATCGTATTTTCATTATTAATTTTTCCCTATATATTTTACCTTAACTGACCGTAAACGCATTTCTTATTATATTTATACAGTCGAATTCAATTATTAACAACATGTTTAAAAGTAGAACTTGCTAAAAAGCAAACAAAAATTTAATCTCATTTGTTTTGCAAATTATATATATTTCCATGTAAATTTACACGAAGAAATGTAACCCGGAAAAATGTTCAACTATGTTTTAAGCAGCCGTTTCCCGTAATATAAAATGAGAATTACTTAACAATGTACACATTTATAACGCACACATTGAGATAAGACTTATTTTTGTTAATTTTTCTGTTAAAGAAATTTTATTATTTTGATACTCCAAAAATATTCATGTCAAAGTGACATTATGTAAACTGACAAAATGAACATTTAGGCGTGTTTCGTATAAGTGCACGTTAATTGGGTGCACATAACGTATATAGGCATATGCAAACATATATGCGAGGTGTCTATAAGTGCACAGCTCCAGTTAAATACAATCATATTTTTAAAAAGAGTCATATCCATACAATCGTGTTCGACTGTACATGCATATAAAAGTACATATGTATAGTAAAATTATCTACAAACTTGGCTAAATATTGCCTTTCAAACGCACATTATATATAACATTTATTTATATGTATATTTAAGTCTATTTTTATTGTATATATTTTTACTTACATATTACACATCAAATTTTAAAGCATATCAAATGAATGTATGTGTACATATTATGTTAAATAATAATTAATGTCAGTTTTATACTTATAAATAAACATTCATACCTACGTAACGTACATATATACCATATTCATATACTTCCATGTCAGTTGATAAATTTTGATTTTTTCCATCTTATTGAATGAAATTATCTTTTAAGAAAATTATAACATAACCATGGTAAAATGATAAAAAAAAATATAGAAGGTGATAATGTTGAAATATAAAATATCGAAAAAAAGAAAACTTTACATTATTTTAACAGTTCATACTTTACATATAGAATTATAAATATTACATAAGCATTTAGAATATATTATTATTAACTATAAGTATATAAATAAAAAAAAAAAAAACAAAATGTAAAAAATTTATTTTATGCTTTTAATAAAAGTGAATATAATTTGTTTGTATCACATTTTGTGTAAAATAGTGGAAAATAAAGTGTATATAATAATATATCAGCAATAATAATAAAAATAATAAAATTAAAAATAGCAAAAATATTATACGTCATATGAAAAGGTAAGTATATGGTGAGGGTTATCGTTTGGTGTCAAGAAAGGGAGCCATTTTAAAAAAAAGTAGAACTAAGTTTTATATTTTCAACGAAAAAATGAAAAAAAAAATTGAAAATTTTAAGTATTTTTAATTTTATCAAAAGATCTAAAATCTAAGAGAAAAATAGAATGGCTTTTAATTAGAAATATCAAAATTGTAATTTCTACTACCCGACAGATATCGTTTATCGACGTCGAAGTGTTCTCAGAGGCATAGTAACTGACTCCTTCCGGAAGTAGGTAGCGACTTTTATAATAATAGAAAAAGGTATATGAAAATAATTCTGGTAGCCACGATTTTGACAGCTAATTTGTATATACACAAGAAATGTTTTTTTTTGTTTTATTTAAAAATTTTTTTTAATATTTCAAATAGGAGTAAAGTCACTTTGATCGGAGCTAAACGACAATAGTTGTAGTTGATAATTTTGAAATTAATTTTAATGAGAAATTTTGTCTACTATATTTTTGTGATATGTGTATGAGTTCCATAATGGAATTTTGGAAAATATTCATACTTTTAATTGAATTAAATGACGTTCAGAAGTGATAAAGCGAAAATAGTAGATAGATATCATAATTTGACAAATAATCATGATATTTTTCTTTTAGTTTATTTGTTAAAGCTCTAATTCAAGAAAATAAACAGGACGATAAAATATGATAAAGCTAGTAGTTTCGAATAAATCAAATTGCAACCTTAAAAATTTTAATGTCGATTTATAAAACTGTTATCAGCTTTCAAAAATATTTTTTTAAATTTAACCAAATTTCTAAAATCGTAAAAAAATTTTTCTAAATTTCTTGAATGAAAAGATATTGAATTAAATTTGGTTGTTTTGTAGCTAGCTATTTTGTTATCTTAAAATTGTTAAGTCAAAATTTTGCTATGGAATATAAAATTTCAAATATAACAAAAATAGATTACTAAGAATAATAAAGGAGTTTTGCATATTATTGGAAAAATATAATACTGAAAATTAGTGATGAATTTTGTATGCATTGTTTTGCGCATTATATTTTTCATTTAAGGATAGAATACCCCTACTGCACTTATAGCTCATTGATTAAAATTAAAATTTTGGTTAACACCTTATTCATCTTGTTCTGTTAATAATGTTGGCGATTCTTCGTATTTTAATGATATTACAATATTGGTTATGAAGGATTACTTGCCATATTTTTTTCTTAGAATTTTAAAAAAACAAAATTAACATGAGGATTAAATATATATGAAAGTATTGTTGTGTTTAAATTTATATTTATTTTTTTATTAAAGGTAAGTACAGTTTTTGGTTAAAATTTATATTGTGTACGTTTTACATTTTCTAATGAAAAATAATAAAACCGAATTTATTCAAATAATAAAAATTATTTTAAAATCCATGTCTATATTCTTCTTAAATTTCATACTTTCGTAGAATTTATTCACTTATTTTGCAAATCAATTTTTTAATGGTGTGTTTCGAATCCATTAAAATGAATTTCTAAGAAAATTTATAATAAAACATCTCATATTTAAAATAGGTAAGCCAATATTATGGAATGTGTGAATATGTTCTTGTAAAAATTCTTGTGAAAAAATAATAATATATGTATTTGGTTTTGAAATTTAGTATAAGACCATATTTCAAAATCTATTTAGTCCACGCGCCATTTAATATTTTTCAAGAAAAATGCAGTTTAAGTAAATGCCTTAAGAGCAAACTGTTTGATAAATTTTCTTTTATTTTTTTAAATTTTGTGAAGGTTGTTGCTATTTTTAATAATTCTAGCTGCGATAGAACTAAATTTATAACACTTTATTAAAATTGGTGTTTTAACTCAGGTGGGATAAAAAATGTTTTGTAAAATTCTTGATTTTGTATAAGTAACTTGTTTTGAAAGAACCTTAAGATTTAATAATTTTGATAAAGTGGGGGTCCTAAAATATATATTTAGCATTTTGCACTTTGACACTTTACATATTATTACATATTTCATTAAACACCTTCAAAAGATAACGAAGTATATACGCGCTCTTGAAATAAAATAACGTTGTGTTTGCTTACTAATATTTTACTAATAGTTTAGAACAATTTCTCTGTTGAATTTAATATTAAGTTGGAACGGAAGTTATTTGTTTTGGAATACAGCCGATAAATCTAGAGAAATTTCTTATGGTTATTATAAAATAGTATAATTTTTTCATTATTTGTAAGTTATTTTTGGTTTAAGCCCAAAGTTTTATGACTTAATAAAATCATTGACTGCTTACTACATTGCATACAATTACGCAGATATTTTCATTTATTTTAACATTGAGAATTTTCAACAGAAATCCATCTTATTAGAAAAAGGACAGAGAAATCAATTTTAATAAATGCCGCCGTCTTAGTTTCGAACAGATTCGGAGGGGGTTTTAAATTTTAGAAAATTTTTAGGCAGTCTCTCTTAGATTTTCGTTGATAGAAGTCTTTTTTAAATTTTTTTGATCGTGCTTAAGAAAATAATCATTGAAGGTTCACATCACAGTTCTATTCATTGGGAGAATAATCTAACAAGGTTTTTAGTAAATTGGGTTACATAAAAACAAATTCTTAATAAAATTATGAAATTTATAATAAAACATTTTAATCTTGTCGTGTAATATTTTCGTTTGTAAAACCAATCCAAATATTATTTATAATATAGGAATCACCTTGAAAAATTTATACAATATAGCCGCATACAATGTAGTCGATCATTTTCTGATGTTCACATTAAAACTTTTTTTATTCATAGTGCTTATTAATAATTAAAAATTCAAAATTGCAAAATTATAAAGTTTGCATTTTTGAAAAAAAAAATTTATAATTCAAAATTTTATTTGAATTAATCTAGTTTATCACTTTGAATATTGTAAGTTTATTATCACCTTTTGTACAGGTACCATTAAAAACTAATTTCGAAGGTTAAATTTTCCAAAACTTTAATTAAAATTGTGTATAAATATAAATTTTTTTTTAAGATAACTTTTATTTTAAAATTTCAATTTTGTGTTTTTTCAAAAATTATTTATTAAAAGTTGCAAAATGCAAAAGATATAGAACGAGGTAAGTTTTTTACTATAATGAATTTTTATACGACTAAAGGTACTTGCAGTCATCTGAATAACCACAAAAAAAAAATTTATGAAAATTATATAAAATTTAAGTATATTTTATTATTTTTTTTAAAAAATTATTACTTTATAGAAAATATTATTTTATTTCTCGAAAATTTTCAAGTTTTCTTTTTTGCATCTTAAAATTTCTCATCAACAAGTATAATTATCGCTTAAGAATCAAAAAAATTTCTATTGCTTTTAACATTTTTTAATGAAATGAATGAAGTAAGTACGTACCATTGCAAATGTATAATTTTGTTTTTTAGGATTTTGGAATTAAAAAATATTTTACACTATTTTTGTAATTTATATACAAAATATATACATATATACATAGATAGTGATGAAAGTAATGCGCTTGTGTTAAATTTTTAGTTTCTTTCATTTTTTATTACAGTGTGTATAGTTTTTTTCTCTTGAATTTCTGGAATTTGAAAAAAAAAAATCTTCATCCAAAAATGTATATATGGGATTATCAACTTTTAAAGTTTTTTTTATCTTTTTCATAAGAAATCTATGGTTGGTATTTCCTTGCGGGATGAGTCAAAAAAAAATATAAGAAACTTTTCTATATAAATCGGACAAAGTTACAAGTTTACTAAATTGAAAAACTTATATACAATAGGTAAGTATGTATATACTATATATACAATGACCTATATGCATATGTATATATATACATATACATAATATTATTTATTTACTTTGATGCCTTAAAAACCACCAACCAAAATCCGTCACTTAATAATGGTAGCATGACAATAAAAAATGTAAATGAA